CACCTGGTCAAAAACCGTAGGTAGTAATTATAGTGTACAACAGACCGAGTTTGGCCAATCAATCAGGTGTTAAAGGAGCAGAAAATATACAACTGGTCGAAATAGTTACTACAATATGTATGTATATCTAGTCAATAAATATGAAATTTAACAATAATTAACAATTTCTCATCCTGGGGTCCAAAATAAACACATATTGCCTTGCTCTTCTTTCATGAAGTGGACTTTGGTATTTTTTTGTATCTTCCTAATTTTTGAAGGAATCGATTTTTTCAGTGAAGAAAGATGAAGGTAAACGGACTTCTTCTTTCCAGCTCTCTCTCCGTTTCTTTTGACCAATTATCGCATCTTTGCGTGATTGCATAAAGCATCGACTCATTCACTCTTGATTAAGAATCATGATGATGTCTTCTGCCGTCTTATGCATGGAAATTGCCGAATCTTTATGGGTAATCCGTCTTTGTTTTGGTTTGATACTTTATTCAGACAGCCCTCCAAAGAATAACGTAGACCAGCTGAGAAAAATGAATTGTATGAAGGTCGAAAGTCGCGTATTCAGTACATTGACAGGTGTGTAATTGCTTTTCTATGGCTTATTCACGAGGTAAAATTGAAAGTGTATAAGTGGCAATTTCTCGTTTGTTTTTTATCGATTCAAGGTTAATAAGTTTCTATTGTGAATTATGTAAAAAAATATATTTTTATTATTGTACGATTATTTTCAATTAGACGAATATACTAAATTAAGAGAAAAACCGAAAAGTTACATATTTCCTTCAATGTGGTCATGATCATACTTGATTGCTTCTGACTACTTCTGACCAAATAGTGAAACTTCTGTACGTATTTTTTCTCTTCGTTAGTGTACATATAGCCATTCACTTTACTTGGTGCTGACGGGCCCCTGGACTAGCCAAGTAGGACATCCGGGCTCCCGATTTAAAACGAGATCGTACTACCCTCTTTTCATTACGACGGACTGCTCCCGATGGACGCGGGCCCTCAGAAAAGTCAATCATCAGTAAGAGTTAATAACAATAACACGAGTGCAAAGAGACGGTAGATACAGAAGGTCGGGCCAGTGGAATGATGCTTTTCATTTGCATATGGATTTCTAGCAAAGAGGTGATTTGTGAATCCACAAAGAAATGTGGCAATCACAGCATCAAGACTCGCAAAACAGGGTATGGTATGGTAAAAAAGGATACTAGGAAGCGGTGTTTGCACTCCCCAGGCACTGCAGCCTTCTGGCTTATAGTACCTTCCTAGTTCCTTAGTTCAGTGCAGTAGACTCAATCCTTCTCCTTAGAAGTATCAGGTCATTGATTGTCGCTTGTCGCTGATACTATTCCATACCTTATATTTTTTTCGTATGTTAGGTTAAACCTCTATTGAGCTGTTGCTTCGCATTCGAAGATAATATGAGTGGCTGTTTCCTCCTCCTCATTACATAAACTGCTGATGGATCATAGTTGTATATGCCCATGTTTTGTAGATGTTTTCTCAGATGCCAGTGATCGGTTTAGTAGTCCTGCCACTCCTCTGAGTTTGGCCCTCTCCAATTCCAGCAATGCTTTTGCCAGTCTCGGTGAGGGTTGTTTCACCATAAGTTTACTATGTCTAGCACTGCTAGAGTTTATCCACTTCTCCTTTTGTTTTGTTTGGATCCATTCTGCGATGGAGGATTCTATATTTGTTTTTGTTATACCAAGTATAGGCTCGGGGTCTATGGTCTTGCAGATCCTCCTCTGGCCAGTCTGTCTGCTTTGTCGTTACCCCAAATTCTCCTGTGCCCTGGCACCCAAGATATCTTCAGGTTGTTGTGTTTCCCCTGGAGAGATTTTGGATACATTCACTGGCTAATTTTGATGCGATTCTTTTACATGCTAATGCTTTAATGACTGCTTGACTATCAGATCTTATGAGGATTTTTTTGCCAGTGTAACCTCTTTTAAGATTTTCCAGGGCACAAGCATTGATGGCAAGTATTTCTGCTTGGAAGACCGAAGTGTACTTCCCTAATGAGTTTGATTGCCAGTTTGTACAGAAAACTCCTGATCCGGTTCTTTCGTTTGTTTTGGAGCCGACTGTATACCATATCATTGTATCTGATGCTCTCCTGTGTTTTTCCTCCCCTTTATAGTCCGTTGAGACTTTATAGGAAGTTGTGAAGAATGTTTCCGAAAAAAACAGGGTAGATGTAGTGCATCCAAGAAGCTAAAAATTTAGTTGCAAGTCGTTTCGTTCTTAGGTGCAGAGGTTCAGTGTTAGACTCAACATTGAGGGAATTCGTAGGTGTAGAGGGTAGTTTAGCCACCAGGCTTATGTTCAGTATTGGATAGCGTTACGCTTTTTTAAGTTGGATTACGCGACAGAAGAGGTCGCGGTACATCAGATAACCTTTGTTAGGACCCATAGTAAACTTGAGAAGTGCAACTTAGAATATTCATTGTTTTTTCAACTCGCTATGCGATTCCCAGAAATTTGAAGGCTCAGTAGGTACTGGATGTGATAAATAACCTAACTACAACTTCGTTCCCATACTGTTAATACCTGGCCCAATTTCCACTGTGAAAATAACCCCAGGGTAGAGTTTTATGCGGAAATAGCACATTTAGGGATTGAGCAATGTATGATATCGCCTGCAAATTGATATATTTTAATGTTTTCCCTCAGATTTTCGTTAGCGAAGTTTTATAGGTAAAATTCTGAAAGGGATAACTAACGTCGATTAACAGTTCATATCATTATTTTGGAAAAAAGTATAATTTTCTTGAATTATTTGTACACAGATATTCTTTTATTTTTTCAATTTTTCGGCTGTTCGCCAGGAGGATGTGAACATTTACAATTCCTTTGTACACAGGCTCCCTGGTGGTGGCTGATCATTAATGTTTCCTTAGGTGGGAGTATTAGCATAGCATGGTATAACGTGTTTTTGTTATTCCCATTCTCTTCATATTTATTCACGTGTTTGGGGATCTTCATTTTTTATGACGCGCCTTGGTCAGTCCGGGGGGAGCTTGAATGATAAATCGGCTCTATTTATTTTGCATCGGCGGCCTTCACACCACCCCCGCTAATGTATATTCATCAAGGAGCCAGGGTGGAGAGAAGAATAAGGGCCGTTCTGTGAAATATCGTTTTTTTTCCACTCCCTCTGTCTGTTTTTGGGTTATTTCGTCTGGGCTGCGGACATTTGCATAAAACAACAGATGCGGTTTTCACCGGCTCCTTGTTACGCCGTTCTAATTATGTAGAAGGGAAAAACCTGTAATAATGTTGTGACAATTCGCAAAACAAAAAATTCTGAAATTTCAATTATACGTTGCCTTATTTTATTGTTTAAAGTCCGAGAATTTCATGAACAAATAAGATGACCATTCAAAGGGACTTAACTATCTCATCATACCGATCGTATGTTCTTCATTATTTAATGTGATATTTTCATTCTCTCCCACTCACCCTTTGTCCGCCTTCACTTTATTTTCACACTCTCCTCCTCTCTCTTTCTGTATACCAATCATTTTCTTATTCTCACTCTTCTCACACATTTTAACTTTTAACTGCCTCACTATCTCTACTCCCTTCTATCTTTATTTTGTTTTGTACCTTTTCAGTCTCTCTCTCCCCCTCTTTCTCTTTCTCTCTTAATTTCTCTTTCACATTTATTCACCCACTTCTCTCATTTTATGCTTATTTCTCACACTCTTTTTCTCTCTTATCCTCGATTTTATTATTCTGGTCTTTTTTCCCGTCATTTCTCTTTATTGTTTTGTATCTATTCTCCCCCCCCCCATTTTCTTTACTATGCGTTAATTATTATTATTCTATTTGTCTAATAGTCGCTCCTATATCTTATCATTATCATATAACTAATTTTTTTACGACTGTTTTGAATATGCAGAATTGAATTATTGCAAAAGATTACTAAAATTTTAATACTGTAGTTCAGTCAATTTAAATCAGTATTGGACTTTCTAGTAAGAAAAAAATTAATATTGTAGTTCATATTAGGAAAATCGTTAAGAGTTGTTTTCTTGTAAATTGTATTATAGTGATCAGTATTCAAAAAATGTGATGTTCTTATCTTAAGGTGGAGCTGTATAAAAGATTCGTATATTATAGTAAATTTACGAATTTTATGTAATACTTGTTAGATTTATTGTGGTCGGCCCTCCTTTTTGACACCGTATGATAGTTGATTTTTTTAATATCCCTAGTCAATTGACCGCATCCTTCCGTTCGGGGAACATCATAATTTCTAAACAACCGACTTGTGTCGTAAGAGAAAGGGCTACCCTACCCCCATTGACTGTCTGGTTAGTAAATACGTGCCTGATATCTCCAAGAGCCGACACGTCCATCCGTGCGGTTCCCCACCGCAACACAGGAAGCCCTAACTAAACACACGCCCCCACACGCTCTTAAGTAATCTTCGTTTCAATGTCAACAGACAGTCAGAACAAGGAAACGTGTGGAAAAAGGGAGTCTTTTTTCCCGAAGAGGCAGGTGAGCAAGCAGAATCCCCGAGCTATCAAAGTGTTGCGAGTTGCACGTCGTTAGTTCCAACGGCATCATCAATCCTAAAGGGGTGTCCGAACTCATCAGTCGTCCCAACAGATCCATCAATAGTTCCGGACCCTGCTATAGCCGACCCCACCGAAGACGGTGTGAGCACTATTCCTTAATTTCGCCCTTCTCCGACCCTCATCTGAAATTTCAATGTAGGCTGTCTTCAATTAAAAACACATGCGGAAAGATAAAATTGTGATTGTACAAAAGAGTTACGCTTTATTTTGAGCTACCGTTCGAGCCTGCAAGATTTGATCATGACCGCAAGTGCTCCCTTGTTTTGCCGTTCAAACTCAAATTTTTAACATGACACGATTAATATCAACAGATCAAAATGCCAATTTCACTTTATTTCTCTACTTACTACTTTCTGACTTCTTCATCATTGATTTACTTATTTTCCTGAGTTTTTTGTTTTGTTTCAGGTACCGTGCTGCTCAAGCGCTAAAGGAAACTTCTAACCGTGGTACCAATTGTTTGCCATCGGTTAATAAACGACTGTTCTGATATTATTTATTTTCTAAAGTTCTATTCCGATGAGGGGGTCATTTTAATTATAACATTTTGCTAATTGGTGATGTTTGTTTTTTTATTACAGTTGCACCTAATGTATAATAATATATACAATGATGGCAAATGTTGTACAAATATATATTGTATGTTTTAAGGTGCATGTAGTGTTATGTTACGTTATGTGTATTGTGTAAGTGAAAGTAATACAGTTATTTTATAAATATGTAAGTGATTAAATAAACTGTATATATTTTAGTTTTCTTTTAGACATCCAAACGAATGGATATGTTTTGTTTAGGTTACTTTTATATAGATTTTCCCTTAATCCCCTTTTTTCGCCTAAAATTATCCTTTTTTAGTTTTGAATTAACCCTTTTTATCTTTAAATTAACACTTTATCTTTAACTCAATCCTTTTTAATACTAAATTAACCATTTCTTTAAAATATTAATAACACTTTTTCTTCAAATTAACCATTTTTAACTTCAAATGAACACTTTTTTATATGAAATTAATTTTTTTTCTATAAAGCATTGAAAAACTTAATGATATGAAATACTAGCATGTAAAGTAAAATTATGCATATTTGAACTTTTTTAATATAACATAATTTGGCTTTTCGGAGATGATATAAATATTTCATTTTTTTTAAATTATTTAAATAATTGGGTTGTTAGAAGAACATATAACAAGTAATTATAATTACATTTAAAAATTATATACATTAATTTTTAAAAATCCACAATTTTACTTTTAATTTATTTTTTAATATAAAAAATTGGAACCTAAAAGAAACATGAAAATTAATTCTAAATACAATCAAAACTGATGTAAAAGAAAATATAAAAACCAATAATTCTTCTTTAATTGAAAAGTTTTTTAATATTAAATAGTTGGGCTCTTAGAAAAACATGAAAATTAATTCTAAATACAATCAAAAATGATGTAAAAGAAAATATAAAAACCAATAATTCTTCTTTAATTGAAAAGTTTTTTAATATTAAATAGTTGGGCTCTTAGAAAAACATGAAAATTAATTCTAAATACAATCAAAAATTATGTAAAAGAAAATATAAAAACCAATAATTCTTCTTCATTTTGAGATTTTTTTAATATAAAATAATGGTCTCTTAGAAAAACCTATGAAAATTAATTATAACTACTATTATGTCGGTATCAAATAAAATATAAAAATCAATAATTCTTTTTTAATTTCAGATTTTTTTAATAATAAATAGTTGGGCTCTTAGAAGAACATGAAAATTGATATAATTACAATTAAGGATTATATAAAATAAAATATAAAAACCAATAATTCTTCTTTAATTTGAGATTTTTTAATATAAAATAATGGTCCCTTAAAAGCACATAGCCCCACGTGGGCATTCTCAACACGACACGCAAGAATGGCACAATTACACAGAAGACAAACACTGAGCCCTGAAGATGATCTCAATAAAGATCGAAACGTTGGCACGATAAAGAGAATGTTTTTCTGAAACCTACATCACACCAGACCGCATCTCACGATTTCTGAATAATTATCGACTAACGGTCACTACTCACCACACATTTAATTTGAGATTTTTTTAACATTATATAATTGGGCTCTTAGAAGAATATATGAAAACTAATTATAACTAGTATTATGTCAGTATAATAATAATAATTCTTTAAATTTGAGTTTTGTCAATATAAAAAATGGGGCCCTTTGGTGAAACTCATATGAACATAAATGTCATTTTTTTCTTCTTTTTTGAAATATATGACAATTGAGCTCTTAGAAGACCATATTAATATAATTTTAGTTTTTTTTCTTTTTTTACTTATAAAATAATTGGGCCCTTAGAAAAACATGAAAATTGATATAATTACAATTAAGTCACAACTTTCGTGGTCCGCTTGACCAATTAATACATGACAATTAATTAAGGTTTTTAGTTGAGATGAAAAAAAGCTAATGGCACGAGAGGGATTCGAACCCACGACCTTCGGCTAGATACGCCGCTGCTCTACCACCTGAGCTATCGTGACCTCCATCCACTCGGATATCAACTCCCCATCTCAAACCCACCTTATGAGTTTTTCCTCCTTTTGCCATTTTTCAGCGAGGGCAGCGGCGTATCCAGCCGAAAGTCGTGGGTTCGAATCCCTCTCGTGCCATTAGCTTTTTTTCATCTCAACTAAAAACTTTAATTAATTGTCATTACAATTAAGGCTTATATAAAATAAAATATAAAAATCAATAATTCTTCTTTTAATTTTTTAGATTTTTCAAATATAAAATAATTGGACCGTTAGAATATGTAAATTGATTGCAAGTAAAAGTAAAAAGTACGTAAAAAATATGGAAGTAAGCAATTTTTTTTTAATTTGAGAAATTATAGTTTTAAACTAACGAGTTTAGTTTTTGTAATTAATTAATACGTTAAAATTTTTGTTTTTTTATGTTTTACAAATCTAATAACATCTGAGTGAGAGAAGTTACTCTTCAGTTGGTGTAAGGGGCCCGGCTGGATGGGCGAATATGACTGCATTACCCAGGGGATTTTTATTTTTTGAAATTAACTTGCTAACAGCCCATTGCAATGGCTCAGTGCTATTTTACCTGCTAAGATTTTTATAAGAGTTTGTTGTATTAATGCCTCTATCGGTATAAATCTAAGATAGAAATTAAAGATTACCAGGCAACGGCGAATCCTGATGGCTGAGCGAGGTTCTGAGTACCCTCTCACGGTACTCACTTTACAAGGTAAGTGGAGTATATAGATATTCTGCCCGAAGTGCATTTCGTTATTCTATACAGGCCGAATTTCTTTAAACGTTTAAAAAGTGTTTTTAATTGTTGATGTGAAACTGGGTCTGGTGAGGCAACAAGTACATCGTCCAATTCGGCGAACACGAACTCAAGAGACATCTCTAGTTTCGACGTTGCCACAGCGCTCATCAGTGTAGGTAAAGGTCCCAGGTTCGAATCCAGCGGCCCTGCGTTCGAACCCGACATACAAATGTTTTTTTGTTTTTTTTTTCTTTCAAAAAAGGGACCCCGAGGATTGAATTTTCTTCCAAATCCCTTATTGGGACGATAAAAAACGTAAATCCAAGTTTTCACATTTCAAAGAAATGTTTATTAACTGCTTAAAATCCACAACGGAGACCCTCCCCCTCTAAAGCTCGCTCACTCTATAAAATTCTAAAAATTCGGATCCAGGATTCGTCTCCATTTTTGTAGCCAACAACTAACTGTCCCATTCAATACTCAACCTGAACTCATCACTGAGCACTGATTCTAAACCCTAAACTGTAACTGACTCGTGGCCAACTGAACTGTGTCACTCAAATTCAACCAACTACTATCTCCCGGACTGACTGACAAGTGACTACCCTACAGAAATGGATTTTTTCCTTCATTGTATGTGTTCTTATGGTAGAAACCATTCTAAATGAAATTTAAATGGACAGATTAGATTTTCATTCATATTATTGAAGAGAATTGTTAAAATTGTACTTCTTTCGTTCTTATTTTAATTAGCATATCATTTTATATCAATTGAAATTTCCTTTATCAAGTGAATAATTAAACTTTGTTGACTGCGAGAGTCAACTTGGGTTTTGTTCCTTCTTAGGTTTTAAAAGCTTATTTTTCTGCCGGATAAAACTCCGCTATAAATAAGTGGGGTGACAAATAGGAGGAAAGGAGATAAAAAATGTCCCAGATTCGGACGTCTTGTAATGGGTGGAAGGGTCAAAACTCGGGGAGGGGCGGATTAGCTTTTAAATACGTAACGGAGAGGGGTGAGCTTGGAAAAAAGGAAACAACAAGAGAACAATATGTGACCGGGGGGAAACAGAAGGTCCGAGGGAGGGAGGAAGTGTATTCAGCAGAATTTGGCATCGGGGGACTGGGCATTACCGGATGAGAAGCAAGGGGTGGCCAATATAACAAATGGGAGGCGGCCGCCCGGGGGTGGGACGGTGTTCTCCGACACAAAAACTAGACGATATGTGCGGTTTTGGGGGAAGGGGCCAAGACAAACTGGCAAACTGTGGATGGGACAGTGAGACAAATTCGGTGAAGACCCACCTCCGAACTCGTGGCCTGGAAATCTTTAACTTCCCAACATCTGAAACTGAACAGGGTGGATGACATTTACAAAGTGACATTGAAAAAAGTAAAACAACTTTATTTAATGTATATCTTGAACTGTATTACTTCCTTTATGTAAATATTACAGAAAACTCTAATTGTTTATTTAATTAGTTTCCTACTTAAGGTTCCCGAGTGTGATTTCCTGAAAGTTCGATCTGAACAGTCCGAGCCTTGAGGAATTCCTCAATGTGTGTAACGGCGTACTTCAAGCCGCGGTTGGAAGGACAGACCCAAAAATTAAATCTTTTTAAAACCCGTCTTTACCTTGAGGATTTCCTTGAGGAAATTTCTCTCCGAGTGTGGGCGCGGATTTCATAGACGCAATCCCGGGTTTTTCCTTGAAGATTTCCTGTACGTGAATGGTTACCTTATGTTTCGAAAGGTCCTTGCTACTGGTAACATCTAATTATTTACTTCCAGCACTTGCCCTTAACAAAAATAAAACTAATATTCCAAAATACTCTTAAAATTACGACAATATAAAAATAAATTTTTAGCCGCCAAAACTACCCCATTGAACATCGAATTCGAAGAGGAGCATAAGATCATTGATCCTCGAATAGAAACATCGTTTAGGGAGATCATGTGTAGTGCAAAGTTTGACGGTTCATGAGTTAATTACTTCCTTAGGCTGGGATTATGCCAAAGAGCATGAATCTTCTCCATGCTTGCCCTAGGCTGTTTGGTTGGAGGAAATCGGGATGATCGTTCTAGTGTAGGTTCAAGTGGGAATAAACCACACTGGCCATGTAAAACTTTTTTTGGTTCTGCTCCAGGCACGATTGCAAAATGGTTTGCATAAAACATTACCGAACAAAAGTAGCATATTCTACGCACTTTTCCTAGCACCCACTTCTACCTTCAGAGAAACTGCTACTATCGACAAAGCTGCTGACCCGAGGATTCATTTTCTACAGCC